AATAAATCATCTTAAAAAAAAAAAAGTAGTTACCTAGCCCACCCTTCTGATGGCTTTTTTGCTTTATCAAGAGCGGGCTAGACAGTATGCTGTTCTGATTGATTCCTTCTGTTCTCTGTTCTGCTTTTTTTCCTCCTAGAATTGTGCTTCAGACTCCACCTCTGGGGTGGGTGCTGTGGTGCAGCGGGTTAAAGCCCCAGCCTGCAGCGCCAGCATCCCATTTGGACGCTGGTTCAAGCCCCCCTGTTCCACTTCAGATCCAGCTCCCTGGTAATGGCCTGAGAAAGCAGAGGAGGATGGCCCAAGTCCTTGGGCCCCTCCACACATGTGAGACCTGGAAGAAGCTCCTGGCTTTGGATTAGCTCAGCTCTGGCCCCACCCATTGCAGCCATCTGGGGAGTGAACCAGCAGATGAAAGACCTCTCTCTTTGTCTCCACCTCTCTCTGTAATTCAGACTTTCAAATAAATCTTAAGAAAAAAAAAAAAAAAAAAGACTCCACCATGACAGACAGTTTCTCAGGTCTACCTCTTAGAGCTCCCCTTCTGGCTGCTGCAGCAAGAGGTTTCTGACTCAAATAAATCTTGCTTTGCTCACTGCCTTGTCCACATGGAAATTCTTCTTCTACGTGAGACGAGTGCTGAGGTAGTCTTCTTTGTTTTTTGTTTGTTTGTTTGTTTTGACAGGCAGAGTGGACAGTGAGAGAGAGAGACAGAGAGAAAGGTCTTCCTTTGCCATTGGTTCACCCTCCAATGGCCGCCGCAGCCGGTGCGCTGCTGCTGGTGCACCGCACTGATCTGATGGCAGGAGCCAGGTACTTATCCTGGTCTCCCATGGGGTGCAGGGCCCAAATACTTGGGCCATCCTCTACTGCACTCCCTGGCCACAGCAGAGAGCTGGCCTGAAAGAGGGGCAACCGGGACAGAATCCGGCACCCCGACTGGGACTAGAACCTGGTGTGCCGGCACTGCAAGGCGGAGGATTAGCCTAGTGAGCCACGGCGCCAGCTGAGGTAGTCTTCTTTGTAACACTATCTCCTCCCATCACAGGGCTGGCAAAATCAAGGCTCCCATAAACAGATGCCTCCTTGTATAAGGGGTAATCTGGTTGTTGACAGGTTTGGGCATAAAACCTAGTCTCTAAACTCATTGTTTACCTGACTCTAGCAAAATTACATTTGGGGAAAGTATTTCTCAGAGTGCTGCATAAGGTTTTGAGTCCACAGGAGGGGACAGGTAGTCATTTCACATGGCAATGCCCTTGAAAGAATATTCAAGGTAACCTTGTTCTGTCAAGACAAACTCCTGGATATATTACACACACACACACGTAGGATGTTAAGCCTGTGGTTAAAATCTGATAAAAATAATGAAAGCATTTTATGAGCTTTTAACTATCAATGCTTTTTACATTTAGGTGTGAAAAGTTATAGAAGAATTCTAATTTGGTAAAAGAAACACAAAACTATTGAGAGAAGAAAATCAAGCACTCTAAAAATGTACCTTTGAGAGAAGTGGGAATTTAAAGCATTATCTAGTAAATAATTGATGTTAATGACCAAAACAGTAGTTGATGCTTTTACACTGATAAGGAGATGTTAGCAAAAAACATAACTTTGAGCATATTTTTAAAAATTTTAATTAATTTATTTTTATTTGAAAAGCAGAGTGACAGGGAGAGAGAGAGACAGAAGCAGACACAGAAAGATCATCCATCTGCTGGCTTATTCCCCAATCACCCTCAACAGCTGAGGCTGAGCCTGGCCTAACCCAGGAGCCTGGAACTCAATCTGGGTGTCCCACGTAGGTTGCAGGGACTCAAGTACCCAAACCATCACCCGTTGCCTTTCAGCGTGAGTACTAGCAGGAAGGTGGAATCAGAAGTGGAGCCGAGAGTCAAACCCAGTCACCCTAATATGAGAAGTGGGCGTCCCAAGCAGTTCCTTACCCGTGGGTATAGACACGAAGCATCTCTTTGGACTACTAAGGTGCTTAGATCCCTATACCCACCACACTTACAGGTAAGTGGCACAAACACTTTCCACAACTGGAGAAGAGTTTCAAAAATTCATAGCTAATATGAGAGGCTTCAAAAATTTCATGAAGAATGCATATTATGAAAAAAATGTGCATGACTTCAAGTTTTTCTTGCACATAAACTCAGCTTTTAATTTCATTTTTCTACAACTTTTTGAAGTCCTCTTGTACACGGAGAAGAGAGTTTCTTGAGGGGACCTGGCCTGTGCCCAGTTAGCACCTGCAACAAGGATGGCACCAACAGCGTAGTATCTCCTAACTCCCTACCAGGAAGGAACAGTGAGCACACCTATTATGCAGGGAGGTGCTGTGCGTCACTGTCAACTCCAATAATGCGGGTACAGGGACTAAGCCCCCCTGTTTTTATTATAGTCCTGGGTACAGAGTGTCACATTTGCAGTTCTCCAACAATATTGACATTTTTACAACCTAGTATAACCCTGCAGGAACTCAAATTTAATGGATAGGTTCACATTTAAATACTGTTAGAGGGGGCAGGTGTTTAGCACAAGCCGTTAAGGCAGCAATTGGGATGCCCGCATCCCATATCAAAGTGCCCGACTCTGGGTCCTGGCTCAGCTTCCAAGGCACACCCTCGGAGACAGTGATGGCGGCACAAGTGGCTGGGTCATGGACACCATTGCAAGAGACCCATATTGATTTCTGAGCTCCTGGCTCCCATCTGGTTTAGCCCTGGTGTTTTGGGGAGTTAACCTATAGATAGAAAATCTCTGCCTGGCTGTCGCTGTCTCTCTGCCTTTCAAACAAAATAAAAAAAAATGCCATGCACTGCAGTTGGTGCCTCATATGAGCATTTTAAGTGACTGTGCCTGTATAGGAATATAAATGCCACACCCTCGCTTTCTACAGCAACAAAATTTTCAGCACCGTGGAGACTATCTTTTTGCTAAAGAATATGTCCACATGCTAATTACCATCTATGGGCTTTGCTTTTCCCTAAGTTAAGACCTTACATATAATAAGGGGTAGACTCTGTCACTTAGCTTCTCAGGACTCTGGAAGAATACAAAAACTCCCCTCCAACCCCCCTTCAAAAAGCAAAACTATTGTTTGCTTTCTGGTCCCTGAAATTCCAGCCTTGGCTTAAACCATGATAAGTAGTGTTCAGCACAAGTGCCAACTTTCACTGGTAATGACAGATGGGTCCTAAGACCGAATCTAGGTTTGGCAGGATAAAGTGCTGTTGAGAGGGCATTGAACTCTGCTACTGTGCAGGCACCCGGGGAAGGGAAGTTGTCTGAGTGCTGACAGTCATTAGCACCTTAGAGGGACTGAGATGCCCAGAGGAGAGGGAAATTGGAAGGGGAGGGACTGGTGGAAAGTGCAGATGCTGGGGGGAAGAGTTATGGGGGGCCAATAAGTTGGGGGGGGGAGTCAAAGACCTTCACAGTGCGGCTGATCATCACAAAATAAGCACGTGGCCAGAATGGAATTGTTAGAGAGTATTTCAGGGCTGGTTTGAGCTGGTTGTAGGAAAATGGCTGTCTATGCTTTCTGGCCCCAGCAGAGACTTCCCGTGCTTGGAATACAATGACAGTTCAAAAAACATTGGTGTTTTTAATGAATAGGCTTTTTTGCATAATTAAGAAAAACTTCATTTTACTGGCAAGAGATGGTTCCTCCAACCAATAATTTTAGGAAGAAACACATTTGAATCAAAGTTCTGGCGAAGTGAACACTAGTTTCATGCTTTGCCTTGATGAGAGCCTGGATTCCGGGCAACCCTCCCCGCGTTTAACAAGTAGAACCCATCTGGACAGCCCGGAGGGTTAGTGGGTGAAAACAGTGGCAACTGGAGCTTATTTTAGAATGTTTTCTCATTGTATTTAATATTTGAAAGTTCATCATTTATTCCCTTATAAAATACCACATCCCAGAAAGACAAATGCATACACCACTTTTTTTTTTAAGATTTATTTATTTATTTGAAAGGTAAAGTGACTGAGAAAGAGAGGGAGAGAGATCTTCCATTCACTGGCTCACTCCTCCAGTGGCCGCAAAGGCCAGGGCTGCTGCTGGGCCAGGCCAAATTCAGGAACTGGTGGCTCCATCCGGGTCTCCCACATGGGCAGCAGGGGCCACAAACACTTGGACCACCTTCAATTCCTCTCCCAGACATATTAGCGGAGGGTTGGATTAGAAGTACAGCATCCGGGACTCAAACTGGGGCTCATATGAGATGGCAACACCATCGCAGCTTAATCCACTGTGCCACAACATAGAGCAATCTTTGCCTATCTACGTTTAATAATGTTTTCGAGTTAACAATGACATTGTCTATGCCAGGTACCTGAGGCTCGGGGGAGACAAGTGAAATGCCTCTATAGTTCCCTCTAGATCTTGACAGTGTTTCCTGAACACAAGGCCAGTGTTTTTTCTAAGTAAATAATGAAATGCTAGAGGCATTATCTGTATGCATAGTCCCAAACTACTTAGGTTTCTGTACCTCATAATAGCAATTATGCTAGTGATCTTGAAAAGAAGGAGATAAATGGAATTGGAGAGGACTCTCCCAGGCCCTTAACCTAAGGGGCAGGAGGTCAGCGGGGACTTCAAACCATCCACCTGGTAGTCCTCTTTCCACGGTGTTGCCTCCGTCTGCGCAAGGGCAAGGTTGTTTCACCATCTGGTATCACACTTATTAAATTCCCTTTCATCTTAGGATGAGGCCTCACCCCACCCCCACCCCCGGCTGCTTCACGGAATGGTGGGAAAACAGAAAGGGAGATGTCTGTGTGCGGAAGGAGCTCATGTCAAGCAAGGAAGCAGGAGAACATGGAGGGGCCAGGCTCACTCTTTCATAACCGCCTGTTCTTGTGGGAATTAATCCACTCCAATGAGACCTACATCAATCCCTTTGCAAGGGCAGTGCCCCTATGAACTAACCATCTTCCACCAGACTTCACCGCTTACAGATTTACCAACACACCAAGAACCACAGCAGTTTGCAAAGTTGTCAGTCTTGTGTCAATTAAAGGAGCTGCTTCCTAGCCTACAGCTAGAAAGCAGCACAGTGTTCCATCCTGGGTTCCCTGTAGGGAAAAGAGATGATGTGGTAATGGAAGGCAAGAGTTAAATGGAGAGGATTTGGGGAAAGATTTTGGAGGATGGAAAGGAAATGTAACTGTAAAGCTTTGGTTGGTGTTTATTTTCCTAAACTGGACTTAAGAGGCACCGTTGCCTCCTCTGAGACTGGAGGAGACCATGAAGTCAACCCTGTCTACTCCAGCTTCCGGAAGGTGGTAACAGCACAGCTCTGCATTACCTAGAGACAGAGAGAAAGGTCTTCCTTTGCCGTTGGTTCACCCTCCAGTGGCCGCCACGGCCAGCGGCTGGCGCACAGCACTGATCCGATGGCAGGAGCCAGGTGCTTCTCCTGGTCTCCCATGGGGTGCAGGGCCCAAGCACTTGGGCCATCCTCCACTGCGCTCCCTGGCCACAGCAGAGAGCTGGCCTGGAAGAGGGGCAACCGGGACAGAATCCGGCACCCCAACCGGGACTAGAACCCGGTGTGCCGGCGCTGCAAGGCGGAGGATTAGCCTAGTGAGCCGCGGCGCTGGCAAATGCTTACTTATTTCTATTCATCTACTTGGAAGGCCGCGTGACAGAGCAGGAGAGAGAGAGAGAGAGAGTCTTCCATCTCCTGATTCACTCCCCAAATGGCCTCAACAGCCAGAGCTGAGCCAAGCAGAAACCAGGAGCCTCTTCTGCGTCGCCCATGTGGATGCAGAAGCCCGGGAACTTGGCCATCTTCTGTTGCTTTCCCAGGCACATTAGCAGGGAGCTGGATTGGAAATGGAGCAGCTGGACATAAACCAGCGCCCTCAAGGGATGCCAGCATCGCAGGCGGTGGCTTTACCCGCTACGCCACAATGCCAGCCCCAGACACTCAATTCGTAAGTGAGTTAAATCTAATTACCTTCATAAGAACCTTGAGAAGAAAGCATAGCAAACGTTACCCTCTTTTGTGGAGAAGGACTCTGAGGGTGAGAGAAACAGCATCACTTGTCTTGGGCACCTCATGGGAAGGCATTCACTGGAATCATCATGCCCTTCCACTCCTCACTGCAAAGACATCACCCTGGGGTTGCCAAGGCTTCCAATGGCTCTGGTCACATGTGGAGGAGTCACACAAGTTAAAACCGGAGTACTTGGCCCCTATGAAAAATGGTTACTTAGAACGTTTCTCATAGCAACAAGCATTGTTTCTCTCAGACAGCAATAGCACCAACTGAGATATTCTTTGGAGCTGTGATCAATCCACGAATCTACTCAAGAGACCTCAGCCCTCTTTAAGTTTGTAAACACAAACCCTTTTTCATATTAATATATAATTTATATACAATAAAGTACATATTTCCGTGTTCAATTTGATGAATTTGGACAATAGTACAAAATACCTCATAAATACACAACTTCTTGTACATCTGTGCATGTGTGAGAAAGAATGTATTTAAGCAACAGGGACAGGCACAAAGATATAAAGATACCCAGAAAGACAGCATTAAGTCGGGTGTGTGAAAGGGACCTGGAATTGCTCACCAATTTTGACATGGTAAGTGGTCAAAGAAATAACAAAACAAATGCCAAACCGCAGAAATAGTTTCCTTAGAAAAAGAGGTTAAGGATTTCTGATTCAGGGATGTGTGGGCGGAAAGCAAAAGCTGAAGTCAAGAGGTCAAAGCCAGTTCCTTTCTTTGACAACTCCAAGCACAAAGAGAAAACCACGCAGATGGTCCTAAAAGCAAATTATTGACGGCTACGTGGCTGAAAAATAATCAGTGAAAAGGAAAGAACTCACCCAAGGTCTTCAGGATCAAATCATGTATTCCAGAGGCCAAAATAATTTCCACCCAGATTAACAGGAAAATACAGTGAGAGGAAGTGCAGCAAGACTGGACTCGCTGCCTGATGCTTGGACTCACAGCGTGGAGGGTTGCTGCTTTCCTTACTCCAAGCTCTTTTTAAAACGCACACACACACATGCACGCATGCACACGTGCGCACACACACGTATGCACACATGCACATGCACACACACACACACAAAATGCCTGGTGTTGTGATGTAGCTGCCGCCTGTGACGCCGGCAACCCTTATAGGTGCCAGTTAGAGTCCCGGCTGCTCCACTTCCAATCCAACTCCCTGCTAATGCACCTGGGAAAGCAGCGGAAGATGGCCCAGGTGCTTGGGCCTCTGTACCCATGTAGGAGGAAGCTCCTAGCTCCTGCCTTCAGTCTAGCCCAGCCCTAGCTGTTCTGGCCATTTGGGGTGTGAACCAATAGTTGGAAGATTGATCTCCCTCTTTCTGTCTCCCCTCTCCCTCTGTAACTGTGTCTTTCAAGTAAATAAAATAAATCTTTAAAGTACACACCCGCACGACATCTCAGTTTTCAATTCAACTGAAAAAGTCAAGTGAGTAAACCATGTTTCCATATTCCACAGGCCGTGTTTCATATTCCTAGTAATCAGGCTGAGATACTGAGATGTCAGCTCTCAGGAATATTCCGGGAACACTAGCTATAGATTGCATTATGGGATCTTCAAGGTTTTAAGATTCAATCTAATTTAGATTGCAAGTTCCCAGGTTGGCACAAGGCTTCTTCTAACCAAGATAGTCCTGACGTGCCCCTCGTTTGGGGAACCTCTGTTTTATAAAATCAGAACCATTTAGAACTATAATACCAAATTGGATTAATTTTGGGAATCTTTAAATAGGATGCATTTAACCAAATAAGGGCTGTAAGTCAGATTGGTGTAGTCTCTCCACAACTGTTTCCATTTTGCAAATCTCCCCTGCACAATGAATAGTGCATTAATTTTTTAAAAAGGGTTTATTTATTTATTTGGAAGTCAGAGTTACAGAGAGAGAGGAAGAGAGAGAGAGAGAGAGAGCGAGAGAGATCTTCCATCCACTGGTTCACTCCCCAGATGGCCTCAAGAGCCAGGGCTGGGTCAGGCTGAAGCCAGGAGCCAGGAGCTTCTTCCAGGTCTCCCACATGGGTGCAGGGGCCCAAGCACTTCGGCCATTTTCCATTGTTTTTCCCAGGCCATTAGCAGGGAGCTAGATGGGAAGTGGAGGATCCAGGGCATGAACTGGCACCCATATGGGATGCTGGCCGTGCAGGTCTCAGTTTTACCCACTAGGCCACAACACTGCCTCATCTTCTTCTAACAAGCATGTATTTCTTGAGCACCAAATATGTGTCAAACTGCACTGGAAGCTCCTGGGAAAAGTCCCAGTTTTCGTGGAGGTTACTGTCCAATCAGAGGGCTCAATGGTAGACAAGTAGACCAGGAAACCTAGCAGGTCAGATGGTGGGAAACACCACAGAGAAATAAGGCAGAGCTGGGGAGCCAGGCAGGGGCTGCCTCCTGGGGTTCTCAGCGACTGGCCTCACTCAGGTGCCTGACACCCGGGGAGAGGCACAGCTGGGATGCCGTGTCAGTGGTGTCATTGTGGTCGGTGTTCAGGAGACCCCTACTTCCCAAATTGTTGGTGACGAACTCCCCAGAGAACCTGAAGGCTGTGACATTTCTGCCAGGGAGATGAGAACTGCTATAAGGGACAGCCCCGCCCCTCACCATCTGCGTTGGCAACATATAGACTCCCCCACCCTCCCCTCCCGTCACTCCTGCCACCTTCCGGCCGCCTGGGCTGCTCTGTGCAAACAGCATCTTCCTGTGCTCCAGCCTGGGGTGCGTGTCCCACCCTCGTGGCAGCTTCCAGCTTTTATGCCCATGCAGTGTGGTCGCATACGATTGGTCACTTGGGAAGTCTGCCACCTCACTAGACTGCGCTGTCCATGAGGGCAGCGATGCCATCTGCCTTGTCTAGTTCTAAACTGGCATAGACACCGATGACGGTGCGCTGAGGGCTCTGCCCTCAGCTGTGCCTCTGCTTAGGCAAATGGAGTTGGCAGGGGACCTGCCCTTGGCATCTGTCACATGTACCTCTTCTTGTATTTCCATTCAGCATATTTTGAACTCCCATCATGTGAACTGTGGACAAAGATCAAAGCTAATCTACAAAACAAACAGTCTTTGAGGGAACACATAATAACTGGCCAGAGTAAAAAACCAAGCTTAATATTCTAGGGAAACAGAGAAAAAAAATCCCCCAAGAGGCAATGGTGGTCTCTTTTGCACAACCTGGCATTTAGAAATCCTTGGCACAATCTTATTTGTATTTACGATCCCAAACTAAGCCATATCACAAACTCTTGACTCGTGACCCACGGAGAAGGCAGATTACAAAATACAGATTTTAAGCTGTTAGCTGGAAGACAGCGCAGAGATGGGTCAGCGCCTCAGCTGGGTGAGTGCGTGTGTGCACTCGGGCAAGGGCTCAGGGAAAAATTTACGCTGATCAGAACAGGTGAGATGGGGGGGTCAAGCGTTTGTGCTTTGATTTTTTTCAACAGAATTGAGTTGCTAACACTAGTAACTGGATCATTACCTCCCAGGATACCCCAGCACATCCATGCAGAAGTGATACAAAGAGCAGATCCAATGCCAAGTGGAATAAAGGCGGGAAATTCTTTGCAGGTTTCAGGTTCCCTGGTTCACCTTGAGATGGGGGGGGGGGGGGGGGTGGCTGACCCTGCAGGGCTGGGACAGTGCCGCGGAAGGCAAGCTGTCTGCTTTAGAGGCCACCTACCCCTTTGGGCCCTGTTTTCCTTTCTGCCTACATCTCCTTCACATACGTCTTGATCATTCTCCACCAGTGGATGTCTTAGTCCATTTTGTGCTGCAATAGTAAAATATCACAGACTGGGGAATTTGTACACAATTGTAGTTTATTTGACCTGCAGTTCACATCAAAGTGCTGGCACCTGGTGAGGGCTTTGGCTGTCTTAACAACATGATGCAAGGCATCACGGGAGACAAAGAGAAGGTGGAGGCGTGAATCTCCCCTCCCCCTTTTATAAGCAACCACAGCGGCTGCACTGGCGTTAACTCATTCATGAGAGTGCTGCCCCCACGACATAATCACCTCTCAATTGTCCTACCTCTCAACACAGACGCAGTG